AATAAATGCAAAGAAGTATTTTACATAAAACTGAGACAACTATAATGACAACCTTAGCTTACAACTGATTCAAAGTGTTCCTATAGTCAAACCCTAAGTCTTTTCTTCCATCCTGTATTTGAGTAATGTGACTTTTTGAATCTTCTAACCCAAATAGATATCATAAGAAACTCCCAAACCGCTTGTTAATATACAGGTTTATTATGTCTGAGGCATTACCATAAGTCCCCACTAGCTCTTCGCTCCTGATCAAAAAACAGAATAAGATTAATAGATCTCTCTGATTGCAACACTTCTTTTTATAAGCAACCCCAATCATTTTAATCATTTACTAATGAAATGTTTAGGGAGCAATGTCAAGCACAAACACCAATAGCTTCTAGAATTCATTGTTATGCTCCAAAGTATATCTCACGATATAGACATACATCACTCAGATTGTATTTTACTAAATCTGACTGCGATGTTTCTGTCACTGAGGTGATGTGTCTTTAACATTTATAGCAGGTTTCAAGAATTAGTGCAGTAACACATTTTACCATCTTCTAGCACAGTAATCTACCATCATAATATCAAATATCTTTCATGAGTAATTAAATAATTCCCAGGGAATTGTTTCCATACTAAAGAAATCCGTGCCAAAAAGCGCGGATTTGTCTAAAAATGTCACCCTAATAGAATGGCTTACAGCATTTTCCTTTATACTGTATTTGACTTTTAGACCATAAAATATGCCTACTATGCCTTTGATTTCCCGTGTTTTAATCCGTGCATTAGCTCTAGGACAATAGCAGCTGAAAATCATTAAGAATTGTTTAAACACAGATGTGTGATATTAGAAATACTGAAGAAAATTTGGCTTCAAATCCACCCCACTTGCAAGTTGACACTTAATAAATGTCTGTTTTTAAATAATGTGACACCACCCTAGGGCCCTGCTGCGGCCCTGAGGCATGGAGTCGGGGGAAGCCAAATCCAACAGCCATCAGGTAAAGAGCACAGCAGAAACACCATTTCCACGTGGGTAAGGTAGCCCACCCTAGCCACCACAATTGCCATGGCTGCCACAAAAGTGGCTAGTCTCTATAGCAGCAGTCACAG